ACAAGACACCACAAAACTAAATGATAGTACAATCCACAGAAAAATTAAATCAATAAATTCTCAAAACCATTAAAAAAACGACAATCAATGGATAAATGGAACTTGAAAGGTAAATCATGACCTTGAACTCAGAAAGACCAAAAACCCCCTGGTGACATAGAACCAAGTAACTATTAGCCATCCAACATCTGTAAATGGACAATCTAGAAGCATATATGTGGTGGTGAACCCATGTCATGGATGCTTGAACAAACTTAAAATAGGGGGATCTTACCCTCACGTTGGTAAACGAAACAAAAGCACAAAAAAACAATCCACAAAATGCTTGCATACTTTACACTAAACCATAAAAATGGGAGACGTCGCAAAAGTAAAAGAAACTATCATTCATAGACAAATTGAAACAAAACTAAAAGAAACTGTCATCTGTACCGRCAWTTAGTGTTGAAGTCTCAAGGAGCAATTGTGAAAATGTAACAGATTAAACAAAACTAAAAGAAACTTGATGTTTAGTAAGATTGAGGAATGGTGCTCCCTTGAGAATCGGTTTAATGTCATAGCTTTAAATCACCGGGTTTCATGATAAGTACCAAGTTCAACTTGGATTAAAACTCGACAATAATCAGAAAAATGTACATGTAAACACAAGAATGTGATTATTTGAATCATAAAATGAAGCAAAGAGAGACGATAGATGGAATATAAGTCAGTTTGGGTGTTCTACATGCTAATGACATTAGTTATGAGTTTTCAGTTCATCTAGATGCCGAGGTTCCTCTTCTTTTAGTCTATTGTCCTAGAATCATTTCAATAATGTGAATGCATTACAATTACCAAGTATATGTGTGGGGAAGTGGTTTTGAATCCTCAAATGCATCAAGGTTGAGTGGTATGCTACATGCTAATAACAATAACCAAGAGTATACAGCTTGATTCTTGTGGTCTATTATCCTGAGTTATTTCAATAGAGGGCACATCATTAGCCAAATACGCATTTGAGCCTCAAAATCTTGTAAATAGGTAACCAAGACAAGATGTGCCAATTGTGATAGGAGTTTAGAGCTCGATTTAATGCTAGTTCCTCTTCTTGTGGTCTGAAAACATAGTTCTACCTTCCTTTTATGAAAAACTCTCTAAGCTGACAAAAGTAGAAAAGAAGGAAGGCCATATATGCAATCTCTTTCATCATATCCTACAATCTTTATGATCAAAGAAAAATAAGGTGCTATAGAGGCATGAAACAGTGTACATTGCCTGGTCCAATTACAGTCTAAGGTCCTCTTACATCATTATTGTCTCCAGGAATCAACAAGGCAGGCAAATACACGTCAATAACATAAATCACCATAAAAAACAAATATAATCTTGCCTCCACTGCAACCCCTGGCCCCCTTTCTTGCAATCAAATATGGAATTTTAAATATTTTTCAAGAACAAATTGGAATCAAATTCAATTGCTTAACCATTTTTGTAGATAAAATTAAGTTTGTATTAAATTCAATAGTACAAGCAGAGATGTATCAACTTTATTACCTCATTTTGGAGAGACCAGGTTCACTGTCAAGTGTCAACGATCATCTGTCTTGCTGTCGATATCCCAAACAACAAGAAATTAGCGAATAACCTGACAAACCATATTATATAAATAAGTAGATAAACTGGATGTTGATCGTACGCGCTGCCGTAAACCTGAGGAAGATGAATAGAAAACGCATTCAAACCCTAACTTCGCCAATTTGAAAAGAAAGATGATAATTATTGAATAACTTCAAATGGAGTTATGGGTTGGTCCTTGTATTAGTTGATTATGCTGAGCTGATCTCCAACGGCATGATTTTCGGATGATCGTATTCGATTCCATTATAGAAATCTCGGAAATTATACTTGGGATGGTCATATCGATTCCAATATCTTATTGCTGATTTTCTGATAGAATAATATCAGCAAATTACGGGTTTGGTCTCCGTGATTCACCAGTCCCAAAATCAAAAAAACAAAATATAAGGATGGTACTCATTAGGTCATCCTCTCCGTTCACCAGTTAAATTCAAGATTATTTTAGTCTTTTTATTCGATCTCGATCTGGAACCAAGACCACAGTCGGACAGCACCAAGAACCAAACCAAGAACCTCCATCGTTGTTTCCTCCCTACACTAACAAAAGCCACGAGACCACCACCGTCGCAGCACCCAACCCCCTTTCTCGTCCCTGCACATACACTCACCTCTGGTTTCTCTTTTTAAGGTTTCTCGTATGTGGCTCTCCTTTTTCTTCCAAGAACCTCCATCGTTGTTTTCCTCTATTGCAATATCCTCCAACAAATAAAGCAAAGAGAACCCACACAAACTTTTACATACATACTATAGATTTTACCTGGAGAAGAAGAGGGGAGTGACCAAGAGAAAGGTAACCAAAAACAAGGCTAATGTCCCTCTGTTTTCGATCTTTTTGCTTCCCATAGTCTACCTAACCCTATTTCTTTATGTGTCGAGAGATGAGATTGAGAGGGTATTTGAATGTGGGGAGATATATTTCAGGGTGTTGCTTGAGTTCGTTGATCAAGAGAGTTAGAGAATGGATTTCAGGGGGGCGAGGGGGCGCACGAATGGATTTCAATTTGTCTGTTAGGGAGAAGATAGATATACGGTTTAGTACTCTTTTAAGTCAGGCGGCAGTTCCGATTTTAATATTTTATTTTATTATTTATCTATATTAATATTATTATATAATTTTATTTGTTTTTAAGAAAGTAATAATAATTTTATTTTT